TTTTTAATGATTATTCCTGATTATAGTCAGTCTCTCTGAGTTTTTCATGCAGGTGTAACAGGAGAATAGTCTCCTACACCCATCTCCTGCATTAGTTTCAGATAGAAAATAGATGGGGAAACTTTAGGATTTGACAATTTTGACAGATCTACGTCACACTGTCACTTAACATTCATGGACTCACCCATCTTTACTCACAACAGGGAAGCCTGTTGTTGGTTTGGCGTCCAGGAAACCGCAGAGAACGTCTTGGCTAGTAGAAGCTAACTGTTAGCATTAGCAACTTCACAGCAGACCTCCGGCTGGAGTGTATTGTTGGTGGAATGGTAAATGACCTGTATTTCCATATTGCCTTCTTAGGGTTCTACCACCCCCCAAGGCACTTCACAGCACAATCAGTCATGCACCCATTCACATGCTGGTGGGAATGAGCTACAATGTAGCTACAGCTGCCCTGGGGCACACTGACAGAGGTGAGGCCTGCCAAACACTGGCGCCACCAGTCCCTCCGACCACCACCAGTAGGCAAGGTGGGTTAAGTATTTTGCCTAAGGACACACCAGCAACATTCTCTGGTCAGAGCAGTTATCTCAGGGGTCTCATGTCCAGACAAGACCTTGAGAAAGTCATTCACGCGTTCATCTACAGCAGGCTGGATTCTTGCAATGGTCTTTTGACTGGTCTTCCCAAAAAAAAAGCTGCGAAGCAACTGCAGCTTATTCAGAATGCTGCTGCTAGAGTCTTAACAAAAACCAAGAGAACCGAGCACATCACTCCTGTTCTTAAAGAGCAAGTCACCCCAAATCTACTTTTTATTCTGATAAACTATATAAATGTGTGTCTAATCGTGCTGCAGACGTGTAGTCAATAGTTTAGTACTTTAGTGCATTTTAGTCTAAATTTAAATTTTCTGCCTAAAACTGTCAGTGTTGTGCCGTTGTCCAACACATTCTCACTCCCAGCGCATCAAAAACAAACGCTTAGTCAGCCACCCTCCGCCTCAGACCCCTGACTTATGTGCAAAAAGGGGTTTTTCCCTTTTCTGACTGCAGATCCCAATGCAGCGTTACACTGACGCGATGGGATGTCCGCAGCCAGGGCACCAAACAAGCTTATTGTACCTCATCCTAACCTTATCCTCTTATTTAACCTTCACCTCACCCCTATCCTAACCTTAACCATCTTGCTAGTGAACACGTTAGTGATGTGTCGGTCGCTCTAAAAGCCAGCTCTATGAAGTGAAAGGCGGGAGCCGCCTCGTCATTGGTCGGGTTTGGACCGAGGCAACGCGAGGGGGAGGTTTCAGCTACCAAGGTGGAGGTTAAAAGTAGAGGGTATTTGTAACCTCCCCCTCGCCAGATGGTTTATTCTAACGTTCCCCTTGGGCGGCATATACGAAAATTCACAGTCAGAATGCATGGGAAACAGACACTTGATCACAGTGAGAGTAACGTTTTAGGTAGAAAGAGAGTTAAGGTTAGGAAGAGGGTGAGGGGAAGGTTATAAATAACAAAACGTTAAGGTTTAGGTGCGGTTTAATGAGGGTTAAGGTTAGGATTAGGGAGAGGGGAAGATTACGTTAAGGTTTAGGTACGGTTAAATGAGCTGGTTCGGTGCCGCATCAGCAGATATCCCATCACGTCAGTTTTACGCTGCATTGGGATCTGCAGTTAGAAAAGGGAAAAACCCCTTTTTGCACATAAGTAACGAAAAAGGGCACTTTTGGCGTCAGGGGTCTGAGGCGGAGGGTGGCTGACCAAGTGTTTGTTTTTGACGCACTGGGAGTGAGAATGTGTTGCGTTGTCAAGTAAAAAGTCTGCACTGCATTTGAATTTAAATCTGCCATCGCTATTGGCTAAGAGGTGCCCTAGAATGTTAGCTGGTACCATATGATGTCACATTGTCATTGTGAGCCTGTGTGTGTGTGTGTGTGTGTGTGTGTGTGTGTGTGTGTGTGTGTGTGTGTGTGTGTGTGTGTGTGTGTGTGTGTGTGTGTGTGTGTGTGTGTGTGTGTGTGTGTGTGTGTGTGTGTGTGTGTGTGTGTGTGTGTGTCTATTTGTTAGCAGCTCCGCCCTCTCGGTCTGCTAGGCAACAGCATTTGTTGCATTTATCAAACAGGAAGTGGGAGCGGAGTAATACTCTGGTAGGGGGTGACTTGCTCTTTAAATCTCTACACTGGTTACCAGTAAACTACAGAATCTATTTCAAAGTACTTCTACTAGTTTATGAATCACTCAGTGGCATGGGGTCAGATCTCCTTCCTGTATATATGCCCAGCAGGGCTCTGAGATCTTTAGGAAGCGGTCAGCTGGTACAACCTCGGGTCAGAACCAAACAGGGTGAAGCTCCTTTTAGCTACTTTGCAGCACACAGATGGAATCAGCTTCCTCATGACCTCTAATGTGGCCCTACTCAAGAAACTTCTAAAACAAAATTGAAAATCTTCATGTTTTCATCAGCCTTTGAATAAATGTTCTTATGCTGCACCTTCTGCACTGTGTTTGCTTACGTTTTAACTTTCTTTCTTTTTCATTTTTTTCTAACACGTTGTTTTTAATGTTTTTGATATTCCTGCTAATGGAAAGTACATTGAATTGCCTTTGTGTATGAAATGTGCTATATAAATAAAGCTGCCTTGCCTTATTGAACCTGTAACCTTCCTGTTGCTGGACAACCCACTCTACTAGAGCCCTGCACGGGCCTAAAATCTGAGCCCATGTCCGGCCCGGCCCGAGGAGGTGGAGCCCCAGCCCGACCCGGTCCGAAAAGGTTTTCAGGATTCTCTGTCCCAACCCAAGTCTGAGCCCGACTTTTTTTTAACCAACTAAATGAAAACAAAGTGCGTCAATCCTGACCAATGTGTTAAAAGACGTGCAGGATCCGATCAATTTGTTTTTCCCTCATTTACCGTCACGGAGATAACGGCACACTGGCTCTGGTGGTAATCAAGTTAAATTATATCTCTTTCCAACAATTTTCACAAGAAAACAAAACAGTCAAAAGCAGGGCTTGTGTTGTGTTGACCGGATAGTTCCCGTATTTGACCGTTTATTTTGACAGAGAAAGAATAGAAAGAATTACCCCGACGCATGCAGACGAACTGACACTTTATTCGTTAGACACATTGCAGATGTAGCTAAATCACTCAAGAAAAGATTCCCATCTGAACATCTGAGCTGGACACTGCTCAGCGCAGCTCGCTGTCAGCGCATATGTGCACAGCGAGCTGAAGTTGTGGAGATTGGCTTGGAGCGCGTTGCAGAACCAGAGCGCATGCGGGAAGGTTCTTCCCACTGAAGCGAGTGTTTTCCAAACCCTGTCTCTCAGAGAGACTTGTCACTTAGAAAATGTTCCCTAATTATGAAACTTTGGCTGAATAGCGCTTGTTCCTGTCTCCAATGTGGCGACACATCCAGGAGCCGTCTGAGGAGAATCCCAGAATCTCACATCCTCTTCAGCTCAGAAAGTGCATATGATTACGCACAAGCGTGACCTGTCAACCCGGTCTCACAGTAAGACCGGGTTGGGCCTGTTCAGGTTTACGCAGACAATCTTTACATAGAATTGACTTACAGATATAAAATTAATTCAGTAAAATATAAAGCATTTTATTTAAATATCCATTCATTATTTTACAAGCACAGAGAGCCGCATCAGATTCAGATCAGCGGGAAGATTCCTCCGACTGAATTCAGTCGGAGGAATCTTCCCGCATGCGCTCTGGTTCTGCGACGCGCTCCAAGTCCCTCTCCACATCTCGCTGTGGACCTTATGTAGTACACGCTGACAGTGAGCTGCACTGAGCAGTGTCCAGCTCAGATGTTCAGATGGGAATCTTTTCTTGAGTGATTTAGCTACATCTGCAATGTGCGTAGAATAAAATGTCAGTTCGTCTGCATGTGTCGGGGTAATTCTTTCTATTCTTTCTCCGTCAAAATAAACGGTCAAATACGGGAACTGTCCGGTCAACACAAGCCCTGCTTTTAACTGTTCTGTTTTCTTGAGAAAATTGTTGCAAAGAGATATAATTTAACTTGATTACCACCAGAGCCAGGCGCACTGCGCCGTTATCTCCGTCACTGTAAATGAGGGAAAAACAAAATGATCAGATTCTTTTCTGACCTCCCCCACCTACAAAGTTTAATTACAACAGTCAAACATGACAGAGCCTGGATTTGTATTCTGAACAGTCTAAACATGTTTTAAAAAGAAACGTTTGACAAATTGGCACCTGCTCAGTAAAACCACCAACAGGGTGAAAAATATCAAAATATTGTAGGCAGAGACGGGCTACAACTTCTGGATCCATTTTATATAAATCGTTTTATTGATTATCGTCTTATGAAAGATAACTTTGACGTACACGAGCGACCGGTACTGGCTGCTGTCACCTGTTGTGAGCAGCTCTCTGCTGTCTGACGGTAGGCCCCGCCCACAACGCCACCACGGCTGCTGTGGCTCCCAGTGTTTTCTTTACTGTGGGAAACGTGTAATAATGGCTCTTTGATGGGAACAGGTTGCCGACCCCTGGTTTAAGTGTTTCAATTTTTTTAATGAATTCAATTAAAAATAAAGGTGCCCGTGTGCGAGGTAATTACACAGTCGTTGGCCCGAAGCCCGGCCCAAGGGCCGTCGGGCCGGGTCGACCCGAGGGCCTAGGGCTTCAGTGCAGGGCTCTACACTCTACCTCCTGAGCTACTGCTGTACTCCATTGTGGAGATAAAACATCAATGTTGTGACTCAAACAGTCAGTGGTAGAGTCACATTGCTGTTGTCCAATCCGAAGCGAGATGTCCAAATATCAGGAAATAAGACTCCAAAACTTTCCGTCTGTATACTCTCTCTTCCAGCTAACTTGTGCTTCCTGATACAAGTGTATATGTGCGTTTTCCCCTGAGTATGACTTACATAGCATTCATTCCTACTAGAGACCACTGCAAATGTAATGATTAAACAATCGTTCAACACCTTTAAACCCCTTTTTTCCACTTTCTCTACAGGCAGGATGACAAACCAGTCGACAGACAATCAATCCAACGCAAAAAAGCAGAAGGAGAAAGAAGAAACCCTACGAGACGACAACACAGAGCTTGCATTCAAAGATGCTGGCCACTGCAGCCGCAATACCCACAACTTGCTGCTGGGACTCACTGTGCTCGGTATCCATTAGGCCCACGATGTCCCTAAAATCTGTATTTGTGTTTAAGAAGCAGACTTCTACTGTACTAGTTGAAGAGAACTGCATTTAGGATCAGATGTATGTGTTCTGCAGCAAATGACTGAATGCAAACTGACATTTCCACACTGCATGTTCGTGTTCCCACAAGACATGGTAGACTTGTTGTTGTCTTGAGTCTGCTTCTGTAAACACTTTTGTATATTTCACCATGACTGTGTTCTTAAAAAAAAGGCCCAGCAAGTTTGAGAAGTGTTTTATGTTTTGTCTGTAATTCATCACCAAGATTTAAACTCAGATATGAAGCTGTTTATGTTACAGTAGATGGCTCTCATTAATCAGCGTCAAAAATTGCATTTTTTCAGCAAAACAAGAGTGCAAAAAGTGTTTTGTTCTGAGATTTTAGAAATAGGTACTTCACAGGACTTTTTTCTCCAAGATGAAAGAAAAAGAAAAATGATGTGAAGACATAAAATGAACTAGATGAACATTTTGTTTCTATTTTCCTTGCATTTGAAGCAAAAACTGAATTATTTGGGCCATGTGTTTGCTCTTCAGGTGTTGTCATGGGAGCAGTGTTTGGGATGCTGCTGCGGTACATGATGGTGAAGGACAATGCTGCCCTCACCATGGTTTCCTTTCCTGGAGACATCCTCATGAGGATGCTGAAGATGCTCATCCTGCCTCTAATCATATCCAGCCTTATTACAGGTCAGCCATGTTTACCCAATCAGAGCTCATCAATACTTTGAATAGGTTTACCACTGCAAGTCATTTTTTACACTTTTTAGGCAGAACTGAAAATATGTATTCCAGTGGATGAAACAAAGCTCACCAAAGATTCAAAGAGCTAGTTCACTGAGAAACCATTATTTACTTATTATTCTTTTAAAATATCAGTCACTCAGAGTTTAACATGCAGACTGATTGTGAAAACAGTCTTCCACCCCTACTTTACCCCTACCAGAGGTAATCGCCTTGCTGTTAGCCAATCGGAGGCGAGATGTCCGAATATCAGGAGATGAGACTGCAAATCCTGCCTTCTGCAGCCACTTTCTACTCTGGCTGACTTCCACGTCTTCAAACAGAAGCATCTGTTTTTATCCCCAGAGAATGACTTACCAGGTTTTCATTCCTGCTATAGACCACTGCAAATATACTAAAAATATGAGGGAACATGAACTTTAAACGCTTTCTTTAAATGGACAGTTTTGCGTAGTCTGTTTTACATCACTGTTGTATAAACTACCTATATTCTTTGGCGTTTTTAACACGGGAGTTAATGGTAACTTGCTCCTGTCTGGTGCCAGCCCCATAGCAGATTGGGGGGAACTGCAGTTTTGGTCACTTCAGGGTTGGCTGCACAAAATTCAGACAAAGGCTGCCCCTTGATCTTAACCCAGTTTTGGTCGTTTATGCTATCTCCTTAGATGTTCTCTCTCCTTGATGCACGCCAGTGAGCTGACCCTTCTCAAACAGACTAACATCTTTTCCACAACCACCAGATGTATCTTTAGATATGGTTGTTTGAGAAATGAGAAGCAGCTCATTGCACCAGTTGGGGTTAAAAACTCGTTGCCAGCTGAAAGAGAAATGCCCATGCAGTAACTATCCAAGAGGAGACTCCGTCTCCTACTTATTTGCTTAGTTAAATGCGGGCGGTGACTTTTTGGGGGATTGGAGCTGTTTGTGAATGAAAACCGCTAAAGCAACATTTGACACATTTTTTAAATGTTATATTTCCAGAATAATTAAGGAAAAAGAAGACCTTTGCCTCACTTAGCTGCATGCTCTTTCACCACCTGACAATGCAGACACTCCTGGTAAAGACTGTGTAATACAATGTTAAGCTGGATACAATATACTTCTGTTGTTTAAACACAACATACACCCAAATATACTTTTATCCCCTCACACAATGCGGTGAGAACTCCAGCCACACCCAGCGGGGAAGCTGAAAGTGTTTACCTTGTCAAACTATTAGTGCAGCTTGTAATCCTTGTTAGTGCAGACTATAGACAATCTTTGTTATTGCAAGATATCTGCTTTATTGGAATAAATGCACCTTTAAAAAAGACTGACATTAAATGTTGCCTCGTAGCAAGTAGAGTCCTGGAAACCCCCCAAGGCACCTTACAACACCATCAATTCAACCATTCACACACTTTCACACCCTGGTGGTGATGAGCTACATTGTGGCCACAGCTGCTCTGGGGCTTACTGACAGAGGCGAGCCTGCCGTACAGAGGCGCGACCGGTCCCTCCTGTACTGGTCAATCTACGTTCCAGCCCTCATCTATGGCACACGCTTTGGGTAGTGACTGAAAAAACAGAATTGTGGATACGAGCGGCCAAAATTTGTCTTCTCTGGGCTCTCCCTTAGAGATAGGGTGAGAAAGTCGATCTGGGAGGGGCTCACAGTAGACCCGCTGCTCCTCCACAATGAGAGGAGCCAGTTGAGGTGGCTCAAGCATCTGCTTAGGATGCCTCCTGGACGCCTCCCTGTCACAACAAAACCACTGTATCAAAACACTTTGGAGGAGATGCTTTCTGCACAGTTCCTAACAAACTCCAGAGCTTGTTCCTTTCCAGTGTGAATGGAATCAGACCTGGAGGTCCGAAACAAATGGCCATTTGCATTCTGGGATGCTGGAGGCCACACAGATGTCAGTAGCTCGCTGAAGATTTAATATAGGAAATCTAGGCCTTGCTCAAATTACTTTTCAGAGGGTGGGTATGTGTGCATTCAGATTCAAACTGTCTGACAGAAATAAAAATAGCAGGGCGGGAAGGTTGTGACACACATTCAAGAGTCTGTAAAAGTAAAACTTCATAAGAAATCCCTGACAATTACTGATTAAACCAAAATAATTGCAGGTGTTATTAAAAATTAGGTCAGATAACAAAAGCTGTAATGGTATTTAATTTTAGACGGTGTACTGCTCAGACAATATGAGGCCAGATGATTTTAATTGTAGAACTGGGGAACATTTAGCAAAAGCCCCTTGAAGCATAAATGTCCATAATTAATTATTTAACTCCATGTCCACCAGGGCTCGCTGGTCTTGACGCTCGTTCCAGTGGCAGGATGGGTAGCAGAGCCATGGTGTACTACATGTCCACCACTGTAATTGCTGCCATTCTGGGGGTCATCCTGGTGCTGGGAATCCACCCAGGTAACCCCAAACTGAGGGGCAGAACAACCTCCACGGGTCCAAAGAACCAGGAGGTCAGCAGCCTGGATGCCTTCCTGGATCTGATCCGTAACCTTTTCCCTGAGAACTTGATGCAGGCTTGCTTCCAACAGGTACTCAACACACCAGTACCAGACCTCTGGAACCGTTTTTGTTGTCTTAGACTCTTCTTTTTATCATGTGAGCATTACTTTACAAAGTGGCCATCATGCTGTGTTAAAGATGATTTGCTAATTTAAACTATGAATTCATTACGAACAAGGCGCTGGAGCTTTTAAACCTGTCTACCTTGATTTTTGCTTTTAAAGCATCCCTGTAGGTTGTGTTTCTGCATGTTTACGTAAATGCTCTTCTACTGGAGTCCACTAGGTCATTTACCTTAAAGACAAAGTTTTAAGATTTCAGGGTTTTTTGTCTTTTTGAAAACAGCTGTTCAGCTTTTCAGAAACTCTCTACTCTTCTTTTGTTCCAAGCTGTTTACTTGCTTTTACTCTGTGTGTGTGTGTGTGTATGTGCGTGCATGCGTGCGTGTTTGTGAGTTTGTGTGTGTGTGTGTGTGTGTGTGTGTGTGTGTGTGTGTGTGTGTGTGTGTGTGTGTGTGTGTGTGTGTGTGTGTGTGTCTGTGTGTGTGTGTGTGTGTGTGTGTGTGTGTGTGTGTGTGTGTGTGTGTGTGTGTGTGTGTGTGTGTGTGTGTGTGTGCGTACGTGCATGAGTTTGTGTGCGTACCTGTGTATGTGCATGCATGCGTGCGTGTTTATGAGTTTGTGTGTATGTGTGTATGTGTGTGTGTGTGTGTGTATGTGTGTGTGTGTGTGTGTGTGTGTGTGTGTGTATGTGTGTGTGTGTGTGTGTGTGTGTGTGTGTGTGTGTGTGTGTGTGTGTGTGTGTGTGTGTGTGTGTGTGTGTGTGTGTGTGTGTGTGCGTACGTGCATGAGTTTGTGTGCGTACCTGTGTATGTGCATGCATGCGTGCGTGTTTATGAGTTTGTGTGTATGTGTGTGTGTGTGTGTGTGTGTGTGTGTGTGTGTGTGTGTGTGTGTGTGTGTGTGTGTGTGTGTGTGTGCGTACGTGCATGAGTTTGTGTGCGTACCTGTGTATGTGCATGCATGCGTGCGTGTTTGTGAGTTTGTGTGTGTGTGTGTGTGTGTGTGTGTGTGTGTGTGTGTGTGTGTGTGTGTGTGTGTGTGTGTGTGTGTGTGTGTGCATTTGCAGATATTCAGGATGGCGTTTTCTGATGTTATTGTGTGCATAATTCTGATTTAAAGGATTCAGGTCACAGGGCAAGATATTTTTAAATGATTAAAAAGAGTTGACCACCTCAGGTGTAAATCTGCTCGATGGATCTCAAATGCATCTTGAGTTGACATTTCTGATCACTTTTTTTGTGTTTTAATTTACAGTTGGATATTTTTCCTGTCTCTAGGTCTAGGAGTAGTTTGAAGTAGTGAAGGCTCAGACAGATGTTGACAAATGCCTTATGTGATGTAAGGGTTTTACAGAATTTAAATTAGGAATCTAATTTCCGACAAGTTTTAGGGTTTTTTTTCTCGCAATACGAGCAGAGTTAGGTTTTTAATCCCACTCCTCCATTAACCACTTCATCTAGTTTTACAGTAGAACAAATGAATCCCTCTGAGTTTTCATTTTAGAGTGATGAGCAGAGACTAGTGGTTTGTTTATTACTCTTCTCTGATTACTTTAAAGACTCCATTCTCCTATTTCTCTGTAGCTCTGCTCACATTTCTGTTTCACTGCTTCTATTGTTTGTTTCCATCAGGGATTCATTAGTCATGAAAAGCTATGCTGCTGAACAGGAAGGAGCCATCCTTTCCCTTTCGCCCCTTTTCATCTATTTTTCTGTCCCTTTGTTAACTTTATTTGTTTTTTGGCTTTGAAATCAAAAGTAATTTTCCAGCTGCCAAGACTGTGTTTGCTTGCATGAAAACAAACTTACAAAGTAAAAGTGAGTCTTAAAGTGACATTGTGTATTTTTCCTGGCGATTAGGGGGCAGTAGATACCTAAATCGTTGCAAGCAAACTGTGTTTTTGTGTTGGAGTAAGACTTTACCAATGGATGCCCATTAGGCTCAAAAAGGCCTAGAGAGTTCAAACTTCAGCAAAATGACAAACACATCAGAACTCCTTTTCATCACTGCAGTGATAAGCTCAGGTGTGGCACTGGAACTTTAGCCGTGGTGCAGCGCCACGAGATCAACCCCCCCAACACACACACACACACACACACACACACACACAGATGCACAGAAGGGAAACACTTCGAGCACAACCGCCCTCAGGGACAACCCACGGTATTGAAACAGTCTGCATTTGCACACACACACACACACACACACACACACACACGCTCTCATGGACAACACACGGCAGTGAAATGGTCCGCACCACAGCTGGAACAATGTCTAGAGGACACACTGCACTGGCAATGAGTGAAGAGGTAATTGTGTAAAACAACAACATTTTAGAATGAAGAAAGTTTTGTAATCATTTGTTTCAAATCAGTAAATGCATTTTGTCCTCATGGGCTCCCGTAGAAGGAAACAGGATCTAAAATTGCGTTGCCCAGAGACTTAGACCCGCTCCCAAGTATCTACGACCAGATTTTTATGGTTGTATGTTACGAAGCCGTCAATAGTTTTCAACAACTGGGCATCAGTTAACTCATTCACTGCCAGCTGTTTCCTGATCACTAACGGCCTTCGCTGCCAGCGTTTCTCACCGTTTTTACTGTTTTTTTAAGAGTCCCAGAACGTTGCGCGCTAGCATGATGTCGATGCCAAAACAACCAAAACAAAGAGGAGACTCACCTCTTACATCAGGAAGAAGCCGCGTGTTTCGAGCTTTATCCGTTCTTTCATAATCCGTTGTCGAATTGTGATCGGCAGACGCTTTTCTGGTTCGTGCCTCACTTTTTTTACAGGAACGGCCCTAAACGATCTCCTAACACATGGATGTGTTGCTTCCTGATCATGTGATCTGTGACGTATGCAGATGAAGATCGGCTTCAGGGCTGAGATGTTTGTTCTATCAGCGCGGGGGCTCGTTCCGATGCTCAAACAGTAAAAAAAATGCAAATGACGACTTTAGTCGTCATTGGCAGTGAACGGTTGGATCTAAAATGACGACTTTATTCGTCAATGGCAGTGAATGAGTTAATTCCATTTCATCAACGTTTTTGTGGATATTTCCAGATTAACGATTAAAACTACACATTGCCCCTTTAACTTGACTTTGTGATCCTCTTCTAGGTCCAGACGGTCCTGAAGCAGGTGCCAGTCGCAGCATCGAACCAAAGCGAGCCCTTATTAGTGAACAGAAAAAAACTGGAATACAAATGGGGCATGAATGTTCTTGGTAAGTCGATCTTTGTTCATTTCTGCACACCTGTTGATGTTTTTGCTTGTTTGACTTTCCCCTGACATGCTGCTTCGTGTCTTCATCAAGGCTTGATTGGATTCTTCATCACCTTTGGGATCTGTCTGGGCAGGATGGGTGAGCGTGGGAGGATCATGTGTGACTTCTTCAACATCCTCAATGAAATCATCATGACTATGGTCTCCATGATTATGTGGTCAGTGTTTGGTGTGTCATGCCAGATATGTGTTTGCTTTTCTCTGCAAGGTTTGCAGCGGTGAAGGAAAAGATGCAGGAGTACCACAGTGAGCATTGTTCACAGAGAGAATGGAGAGAGACGTGTTTTGGTGTAAGACACAGACAGATGGACTAAGACTGAGTTTTCCTGGGACATGCTGCAGTCTGTGGTATGTGGGGGAGTAGCAGGAGCTATAGGCTCCCAGGAGAGTTGAACTGGAAGATCTCCAAAATGTAACACAGACGGGCGGAGGAGCAAAAAGCAGACGCAGGCAGAAGAGACGTGGAAGTGTGCTTTCAGAGAGGAGTGTGCACAAACTGAGGCTTTGCAGGGTCCTCGACTGTCACAAAAAGCTGTTTAGTACCATGAGTGTAGAAAGACTATGTGTGCAACTGGACACCAAAGGAATCGTGTCCTGTTCACATCACTCAATCAGTATAAACATGTTAGTCAGGGGTCTGAGCAGCGAGCCAAACACAGAGTTCAGTGTATACAGAAAAATGTATCATCCATTGAATTGTATACATTGCTTCCTCCGCTGAACAACTGTCAGCGAATGCCAGTCTCAGGTTTCAGCAGCACACAGCTGACCTGGAGGAAGCTGGCTGCTTGTCATGGGGAGACCTGTGAGGGGGCGGGGCTTACAGGAGAGCACAGCTTTAATTCTGATTTCACTAAAGAGACGCCAGAATTTATGAATGGAACAACTGTGCTGCGACGCAGGAAACCAGAGATCCAAGAATGTGTCCTGTCCGAAAAACTCCATTGAGAAGACTAATTAGATGATGTGACATCTTTCTGCTAATAATAAATAATCATTTTTACATGTTAACGCCTTGTTTAAACAGTAGTTGTAGGCACCTGCATGGCCAAAAGCTTTAGATTTAGTTTAGATTTATTTTCCTGATTGTCATGAACTGTTTTGTTGTTTTCTCTTAGGCACATCAAAGACCAGATGAAGACTGTCCTGAATTTAACCCAGTTTCAGTAATAGTCTATTTTTTTACTCCTAACTCCGTGCACAGGTACTCCCCTGTTGGCATCGCCTCTCTGATTGCAGGGAAGATTGCTGCCATCGGAGACTTGGAGGTGGTGGCCAGGCAGCTGGGCATGTACATGGTGACTGTCATCGTTGGTCTGGTGATCCACGGCGGCTTGATCCTACCGGCTATATTCTTTGCCATCACCAGAAAGAGCCCTATCATATTCTACTCTGGCATCTTCCAGGCCTGGATCACAGCTTTGGGAACTGCCAGCAGGTATAAGTGTCGTTCCAACGTCCAACACAACATACAGCAGAATGTTCCAGGTGCAGCTGCTTTAGTTGTTTTCTGCTTGCTGATCTGGGTTTAACCTGAGAGGCCTAATGGCTACATTCTGTTTACACAACTGCAGTGGCAGTTGAGGACAGCAGAGCCAAATGTGTGTGAGTCCAGGCTATCGTAGACAAGTCCATGTCAGACAGATCCCATGTTGTAAACGTCTAAGCCTTTGGATTAGTTGTCACTAGACAAACCGGCCCCACCGTATCCTGCCCCGCTTGGCTCGGCCTGCCTGGGATTCTGCTGAGACCAACTGTCATTTTGGCACATCGGTGAGGCTTTAGTGAAAATGGATAATCCTATCAACATTTTCTCTAATTATATTATGACCCGAGTTTAACGGGACCAGGAATCAAATTCCTCTAATTCACATATTGAGGGATTGAAACAGTGGCCTTACACCAGCTGTCAGGATGAGGCTGTGGACCGACTCAAATGTCTGCAGCCTTGTATTTACACTCCCTGTTACCCCTTCACCTTCTTCCCCACCTCTGCTCGTCTGTCTCCCACCACCTGTTTGCATATTTTATGTCCCCAAACAGACACGTGGCTGTTTCAACGGGCTGTTTTCATGGCGCTTCCTGTTTTTCCAGTGCAGGGACGCTGCCTGTCACCTTCCGCTGTTTGGAGGAAAACCTGAAGATCGATAAACGTGTGACTCGCTTCGTGCTGCCCATCGGTGCCACCATCAACATGGATGGCACCGCCCTCTATGAGGCTGTGGCAGCCATCTTCATCGCCCAGATGAATGACATCGCGCTGGACGCTGGTCAGATCATCACAGTCAGGTATGTGTGTATAATTGGGAAAGCACATGATGTCATTGGAGATGTCTCCATACTCGGGTTACAGCTGCAGGGGAAAAATAACATAACACTTGACTGAGTGTGGCTATATAATCAGATTGAGAACAGAACAATAATAAAATGGAACATTAATCACTCATTATTATGATTTTCTATTATAAAAGGCCAGGTCAGATAGTTATATTTTTTATTAACAGCCCAGTCCTGTCTGTTCCTTTTCTTATCAATATTCCTGTTTTGAAACGTTAAAGAGCAAGTCACCCCCTACCAGAATCTTAAGCCTGGTTTATGCTTCTCCGTCAGCTCCGCAAGGGACAGACACGCACGGATTGACGGAAGCATTTTGCTCTCATACTTCTCCGTCTCCTGGAGAGTGTTGCAAAGCAATTGCCCGGCAGGACCACAGAGGGCGTAGCGCTGTTCTGTGGTATCCTGTCATGTATCGGTCCAAGATCGTGTGTTTATATTGTGTTTTTTGTGTATATAAGAGACTTTTAACACGGACATATTTGTCTCTCATTCTCCCACCGCTTCATGCGCTCCCCACCTCTAAACCCACGTTTCCTGTCATTTCCGTCCACAAATAAAACGCTTGCTGCGCATCCTGGGACGTAATTTTGGGGGGGGGACGGGTGGGACATGTCCCCCCCACTTTTTCAAAAGGCAGTTTTGGTCCCCTGCACTTTTTTCCGTCCAAAAACAATGTTACGCTCCATTAAATGGATTTGGTTGAGCACTAGGACCGAAACGGAAACCGGTTTCCTATTTTACCCGCCCAAAAGCTAATCTATTGGCTCTGCTGATACTTGCTAACGTATTATTGGCTGTTGCTGCTGTCACTCAAGTTGTAAACAGTCAGAACGTGCTCACGTTGTTTTGCTAGTTTGGAGCCGCTAGGGAACACCGGTACTGAGTCACATCGTCAACTAGACGCTGTGTAATATCAGAGCTCAGCTCAGCTTCCATTACATAACATTTGAATAAGTGTTCATTTGTGAGTCTTTGGTAGTTAGGCACAGCCAGGAGGCAGCATGTCAAGAAAACGAAAAGTGGATATAAGAGACTTCTTTCAAAGTCAAAACGTAAGTTGGACATGTGACAGACCTCAGACTCACCTCCTCCTTCACACACATACTCAAAACTAACTTTTACAAACTCATCTCCTCCACATAACTGACTCCTCAGACACAATTTATTCGTATTATAATTATTTTTTTTATTATTACTATTATCATCATAATTATTATTACTAGTAGTAGTAGTAGTAGAAGTGTAACTTCAAAACTTTTATCATTTAACTTTATTGTAAACTTATCTATTGCAATGTATATGTTCACATTAAAAAGCTCTGAAAAATGAACAGTATCATCATCGTCAACAGATTTTTTAAGCTTAATGTCAAAGATGTACACTTTTCATTAGATTTATCTTATTTTTTCCATTTATTTTTTGTGTGTTGAAATGCAGCAACTGTTTAAACACTTTTAAGGGAAAAAAAATATTTAATATGTTTTTATACCTTCAAATGTTAGGGTGATGATCATGTGTAAAACATTAGTTCAGCATGTCCTCTAACACAGCAAATGAACAAACAGCCAGATCTCAGGAGGGACCGTTTATGTATAAATAATTTTTATACTTTTGACTAGGCCTGGGAAAGTAACACATTTTGCTGGACGATATTTTGTCCAACAAATTGTTGATGATAAACGATATCATTGTCAACATTATCTAGACCAAAATAACCACTAATATAATGTTAATATATCATAATAATGCAAGTACACCCTTTAAAATGCAACAAATAAACCTTCATTTAACATTGAAATGTCCAGAACCAGAACTTCTAATTGAATAAAAATAACAAACAAAAATTTAATAAAAAAGGAATCTCACTCCCTGTTAGAAAATGTTGCACCAAAAACAATAAAAAAAGACCCAAAACAATAAATATAATAGCCTGTCCATTGTCAACAGCCAAAACTGCACTTCAATAATGACAATAAATAATAATAATAATAGAGTTGTACAATTTTTTTACTTTGATATATATATATATATATATATATATATATATATATATATATATATATATATATATATATATATATATATATAGAGGATGGAAAAATTATTGAGATGGGCACGTGACGTGTCAAGGGGTCTTTACATAACACCCCCCACCCCAAATCCGCACAAGCCTACTGTGTCCCCCCCACTTCTGAAATCAAAATTTCGTCCCTGTGCGCATCTTTTCACTCCTCCAGTCACGGGAGAATTAAACGTTCATATTTTTAGAGTTTTTTCGTGAGGCATTCTTCAAGCGTCTCCGTGTCTACCGCTAGTTAAACTCGGCTCTCTTTGCAATGGCGGCGCTGTAAACAACAGCGGCGTCCTGACCAATCACAAGCTTGCGTAATCCGTCTCGTTCGACGGATGTTTAAAAAAGTGGGCTCGACTCCGTACGTACTTGCGTGCCTGCCGGAGCCCTACGCAAGGACGGATAATGGCGTTGCGTGTCTCCGCACTGACGCAGACGGAGAAGCATAAATCAGGCTTTACTCCACTCCCACTTAATGTTTGAAAAATGCAACAAATGTTGTTGCCTAGCAGACCGAGAGGGCGGAGCTGCTAACAAATACACACACATATGGTACCAGCTGATATCATATGATACTTCTTAGCCATTAGCAATGGCAGATTTAAATTCAAATGCATTGCCGAGTTTTTACCTGAGGAGGGCACAACACTGACAGTTTTAGACAGAATATTTAAATTTTAACTAAGATGCACCAAAGTGCCAAATTATTGACTACACGTGTCTACAGGGCGATCAGACACTCATTTATATAATTTATCAGCAAAAAATAAATGTTGATTTGGGGGTGACGTGCTCTTTAAGTGTGCAGCTTCCACATCATCCCAAGTAAGAATATTTGAAGGCTCTTACAGTTTCTGTAGAAATAAACATTCCAACTTTTACACCCACTAAACACCACGTTGTGGCCAGCTGGACTGAAGCAAACAGGGAGCCAGGGTTTAAAGCGAGGGGTTTTATTTCTCAACCACAAAGTGCAACTGTATAAATGCCTTCCAAAATGGAACAAAAACGATCACCATTATTTCTTCGTTTAAATATCTCACCCCATTTTCTACAGCTGCTGCAGTTTAACGACACTATTAATGCTGTCAGAACTGCTTTAGTGAATAAATAAATAAAATCAACCCATGTGCAATTTCAGCGGCAATTTGCATTAGTTTATACTCAACCCTCACACGTAAAATGCTTGAGGCAGAGGCCAGCAGCAGCAAAGGCTGGCCACAGAACAGAACAGATCAGCATCAGTGATAACAGACAGGACCAGATTAAGTTAGGCATGGCTTTCAAAAGGGGGGAGCAGGGCTGGTGGTGGGCCGCAAAGAGGCAAATGATAAACAACGGCTCTGTGAGGTTTACCTACTAAATGCAATACGAGGAAATAGCTGATTGATCAGCTGGTGTATTTAAGATGTGATGTGACACCCGAAATAACCTCTGCTTGGTGAAAATCTTTACCTCCTGGCACGAACAAATCCTGGACCAACTCTGTTAAGCCCCTTCCACACTAGTGCTGGCTCCACTCCTCTTCACTCTGCCCATCCCGCCCCAGCTTGGCTGGGTTGATGACACACACACACACACACCCTTGGGAATGCAGACGTGACTGAGCAAATGGGCGGTGGGTGGGGCAAATGATGCGCAAAGAAGTCTGCGATGTCTCCTTTAAACTGTGCAAAGGTGACCAAGAGCAGTGTTGCTTTTTGAGATTCTGACTCTAATATTGCATCCAGACTGCTGTGTCTGTCCTGGTGCAGCTAGACGCTGTCTGTGTTTGTGTGTGCATGCTCCTCAGACAGAGACGGCTTCAGTCAGAGGAACCTTTCCTCCTCGGTAACCAGACTGATAATTAATCACGCACGCTGGTTGATTCTATCCGCCAATCAGAGGCTCCCCCTAATGGTAGTGTGAATTTGAGCTGACGAATCAGTCGGCAGTGGGTGTGTTGGACCAGTTCAGCCCAAAATAGACCGCCTTGGGAAAAGCGCTTAAAAAAACGACCGGTGGTGTGCAGAAAATTCTAGCTTACCCAGATGTGAACACTACCCAGTCCAGGCGGAGTAGAGCCAACACTAGCGTGGAAGCCCTGTGTGTAACCTGACGTGTAAGCTTTGCAGTTACTGGTGAGAAAAGTTCTCTTTGTTCTGGTTAAAAATCTGAGTTTAAAAACAACCCCAAACCATCTAAAAGGAAACTAACTAAAATAACTTTAAACAAAACCCCAAACTCCATGTTTTTGCTTTGTTTTGCCAAACTCCTCAACAACCATAAAACCACGATTTAACCTCATAGAAAAATGAGCTGCTGGACTAAATGTTTAAATATTGTTGTGGTTGATGAGAAACTCTTCTTCTGAGGGAATTTGACAGTTTTTTCCATGATTAAAAACAAATAAATACCTCAGAAGAGACCATTTATGCCACTCTGTTAATAATCACTGTAATATTTCCTCACCACCGTTCACTAACCTCCCCTGAAATGCTTCACAACCCTGGGAAGAGGTCTGTCCCACACTCCAGAGGGAACTTAGATCAAGTTTAACACAACATTTTTCACAACAGTTATGTCTAATTAAATTTCTAAGCTGCTGCTTTTTCCTAAATATTTTAACTAGGTCACTAATTGATATAATGCTTCTAGCTTAAATTTGTGAGTGAGTAAAGCATTACCTTCTAATGTTGAATATAACTAAAACAGGACCCGCAGCAGATTGTTATGATACATATAAATGAATAGCAGCTTCAAAGTCTATGCTGTAAAGAAGTAATCAGATACTTTTATTCCCATGTTGATGGTTTTAGCTTAACATTAAGTCTAACTGGAACCAGTCTGCTTGGATGAGACTGGGTCTGTTACGGCTGTGGGTTACAAATAATGCTCAGCT